TGTCCCACGCCCTGAGTAAGGGCTGGGGATAGAGCCAAAGTCCCTGCTTCAAGGAGCTTATATTCTAACGTGGGAATACAATCTGTAAATAAAGATACACCATGTCAGTGGTTATGTGCTGGAAGGCAAAATCAAGCGGGTCAGGGGCATATGACTGATGGGATGCATGCTATTTTATATATACATTGGTCAGGCACAGCCTCTGTGATAGAGTGACATTTGAGCAAAACTTCTAATGAGGGAGGGAGGGAGTGAGTGATGCAGCTCTCTGGGCCAAGAGCTTTCAAGGCAGTGAGAAGAGCATGTCAGAAAGCCTCAGATGGGAGCAACTGTGGCCCAGTGCTGTTGGACCCATGCGAGCCACAGGAGGGAGGAGTGGAGAGGTGCCTGTGAGACTCGGTAAAGACATTGGTAGTTACCCTCAGGAGGGGAATCATTCAAATTTTGAGAAACTAGAGGAGTGATGTGGTTTGACTTAGGCCTTACAAGGATCACTCTGCTGTACTGACCGTAAACTGCATGGTGGCCAGTTAGGAGGCAATAGGCATGGTCCAGCAGACTGGGAGGGTGAACTGGATCACAGGGCAGCGATGGAGATGGTGAAAAGGGGTCAGATTCTGGATACGGCCATGGGATTCATCAATGGATTGGATGTGAGTTTTCAGAGAAAGGAGTTTGTAAAGTGACTCCAAGGCTTTTGGCTTCTAAATGAAGATGCTTGTTCCTAGGGGGTGGGGTGGGGGAAGCAATTGAAGACTGGTGGGCTCAGTCTAGTCTTTTGGAGTCTGAGAGCTGCTTCACTGAATTCGTTTGTGTAAGGGTTTGGCTGGTGAGAAAGGACCAGAAGCTGGAGCCAAAAGTGGGATAGAGCTGGTGGGTACTATGTCTAGAGTGAGAAGCCATCTGTAGGTCAAGGCCAGAAGTTTAGATTGATAAGAGAATGCAATACTGAAGGCAGTGTCAAGGTCAGAATCCAGTGTTCGGTACAATTTGGGTGGCAGTGGGCAGTAATTCAAACAGGATAAGCGCAATGGTGATTTATTAAGTACTAGGCATTGGCCAGGCGCAGTGGCTCACGTGAGCCTGTAATCCCAGCACTTTGGGAGGCCGAGGCGGGCAGATCACAAGGTCAGGAGATGGAGACCATCCTGTGAATGGTGAAACCCTGTCTCTACTAAAAATACAAAAAATTAGCCAGGCGTGGTGGCGGGTGCCTATAGTCCCAGTTACTCGGGAGGCTGAGGCAGGAGAATGGCGTGAACCCGGGGGCTGGAGCTTGCAGCGAGCCAAGATCACACCACTGCACTCCAGCCTGGACGACAGAGCGAGACTCCATCTCAAAAAGAAAAATAAATAAAAAAAGTACCAGGCATCATGCTAAAAAGCCTGTGTGTACAGTATCCCATTGAATTCTTACAACTCTACGAATTAGGTATCATTAGCTCTACTTGACAAATGAGGAAAATCAAAAGGTTGAATAACCTCTCCAAGGCCACAAGGCTTGTAAGCAGAAGAACAGTTTTAGGCTTTGATTGGATCTGACTCTGCAGCATGTGTGCCTAAACACTATGCAATGCTGCAAGGTTCAATGTACCAGCTGGCAGCTGAGGTTGCCTCAGAGGTTCAAGTCAGGAGGGTGTGGGATTGGTAAGTCCAGGTGGAAGCAGAGTCTAAATGTACAGACATGGCTCCAAGTTTGTGGTTTACATTAGGCATGAAGAAACAGGCTTGGACTGGACTTTGAACCAGGAGACTGGGAGCAGCATCTCAAATCTGGCACCAGCGTTCCCACTCACCCAACTACAACAGCACTAAGACCTAATTAGGCAAGATGTTGCAGAGGCTGGCAATTGTAATGGAAAGTCAGTATTCTGCTTAGCTAGGTTTGTGACACTACCACTGTATTATACTCAGATAAACATGTGAATCCAGTGGAATTTCTTTGTTAGACCTCTGCATTATAACTGAAACAGTGCTCTAATGCGGACGATCAAACACCCTTCCCCTTCTGTAAGATAGTTGTTACGTAGATGTTGGAATCTATGTTGAAAGAGCTCACAAAGATCCTTCCCTTCACCTGGCTTAATTAAGGAGACTGCCCTAGATCCTACAGGAAAGAGCTTCGTGAGTTTGCATTGCTCTTTCAAAGGCAAACAACCCTGGCGTTCCAATACTTTTGCCTTTTTCTCTACCTATCAACTGGTAAGGATGCACTAAACACAAAATTTCATTCTCAGGCTGCTTAAAAGGCACATTTAATGCAGCCAGTTCAATAAAGATAATACAGAAATAAGATCTATTAAGCAAGCACATCCTGGCAAGAGCTAATCGCTGTGCTATTATGATGGGTTAGAATTAAATAAGACACTGTCTGGTTCAGAAGTTGTTTCAGGTCAGGCTCGAGCAATACGCATTTCTAGTTTAATAAGGAACTTAGGCTCACCAAGATCGTGACACCCAAGTGACGGACAGTCAGTGGTAAAACTGGGTCCAGAACTCAGATCTCCTGATTTCCAGTTCAATCTTCTTTCTCCTCTACTCAGAAGGTACTAGGATCTGAATGATAAACAATGCTCACATGGAGAGGCATCAGGTAAAACTGCAATTGACTAATACGCCATACATGATGGACCTACTTAGGGTAGAGTTTCTATTGTCTTTTAACTCAATAGTAAGCAGGTACTGAAAAGGCTGGGAGCAGGTCAGCGGTTCAGACAACTGTCCACTTGCTGACTAGACCACTAACTAAATGTGCTCTATATAAAACACACCAAAGCATTGAATGGAAAACAGTACCTGCAAATAAAATGATAATTTCATAAGCAATACTATACAGGTGTCTTAACTGAGAAGCAAAGGTGATATTTGCTTGGATTTTATTTGAAAACCCTATTTGATTCATTATCTACTTCTCCTTAGATAAGGCTCCCAGTATAATTACATAATTGGCTCAGCCTTTAAGATTTAAAGCCTCTGTTCCCAAGCTGCAGTGGCTGCAGCAGTAGGAAATGAGAAACAAGGCGATCTCATATTGAAGTGGCTACGTAAGTATCCCTAAGGTGTAGTCATGATTTCCAGCCATGCAGTTGTTTGGAATTAGAAATCCTGATTCCTACTGTAAACTGAACATTGCAAAGCTGGTAGGATTAATTCAGTGGAAGAAACTTGGTTTCTTGTTTGGAGGCGTGTGGATGAATAGGAACTCTTGTGCATTGCTGGCAGGAATGTGAGTCAGTACAATCACTTTTGGACAGGAATATGGCATCTTCATAGACTTGAAGATACGTTGCAACTCTACTCCTAGGTTATCTGCCCTAAAGACACTCTTTCTTACACATGTTCACAAGAATTCTCACTTCTAAGATGTTGGTAGAAGCAAAATTTTGGAAGATGTCATTTAAAAAAATATGTTGTGGCGTAGCAATTAAAACTAAAGCTATCAGGCAAATGATAGAAAGAGCAGGGCTGGCCATACTCATGTCAGAAAAAAATGCTTTACAGTGAGGCACAATGGCTCACACCTGTAATTCCAGCACATTGGGAGGCTGAGGAAGATTGCTTGAGCCCAGGGTTCAAGATCAGCCTGAGTGACATGTGGAGACCCTGTCTCTATAAACACATTTTAAAAGAACTATAAAAAAAAAATTTAAAAACTAGCTGGGCATGTTGGCTCATGCCTGTGGCTCCAGCTACTCAGGAGGCTGAGGCAGGATTGCCTGAGCCTGAGAAGTCAAGGTTGCAGTGAGCTATGATCATGTCACTGCACTCCAGCCTGGGCCACAGAGTTAAGACCCTGTCTCAGAGTAGAGAACCCAGAAATAAATTCTCATCTATATGGTCAAATGATCTTTGACAAAGGTGCCAGCTACCTAGGTACTCAAGAGGCTGAGGTGGGAGGATCACCGGAGCCTAGGTTCAAGGTTCAGTGAGCTGTGATCACGCCACTGCACTTCAACCTGGGTGGCAGAGCAAGACCTTGTCTCTTTGAGTGTTTCATCTTCATTACCCTATAAAGATACTTTGATTGCAAGTGGGGACAAAGTAAATGGCACATAAAATTTTTATTGCAAATTTGACTTTACAATACTTAGTACTCAGCCTGCGTCACCCTAAAGCAAGCATATTTTATATAAGCGGTTTCAGTTTTATTTTCTTTTTTCTTTGATGACTATGTTTTGACTTTTTAATGCCAACAAGTCAGATCATTGTGTAGATGGCCACTAAACTGCCAAGGTGACAGTAACAAATGTGGATTAAGCCCAGGAGCCAAGTTTCCCAGTAAGAAAAATCCTAGGCCTCCTTCAGGGAAGACAGCATTTGAGTCAAAGCTAATTATCCTCAAAACGAACATAGATTTGCAAAAAAAAATGGTTATAATGGAGGATCAGGGACCAATGTCTGCTGCCCGTTGCTTCCTTTACCTCCTGATGCTCTTATGACACTCAAAGCCTCCGCACTTGTCACCCCACCCAGATCCAACTACAAGTGTCCCATTTCCCCCCGCCCCACAAATCAATTCTCATGACTGCACTTCAGAGCTTGTCCTCTTAAGGTAATCTATGTTTAAATTCATAACGTGGACAGTATTCAACCAGAAAACAAAAAATATATATATATACACACACATGGCTTTGAGAAGGTAGGCGGGCAGATATTCACAGAATCGGTGTTGTACAGAACAAGGATGAAAGAAAAGTGAGGATGGTTTTATAGCTGGATAGGTACAAGGGTAAGTTCATAAGCAAAGATGTATTACGGAGCAAATACTTCTCAAGTTTTCTCTGACTGCACAGTTCAAAGATTCAACTACACATTTTACCTAACAGTTTTGAAATACTATAAAGCCTTATTCCATTCTAATGTGTGATGGTTTAAGTCAAAAGACTTCAACCTTCTCAGCCTTTCAGACTAGCAATTTATAGCCATAATTCAAAGTGATTCTGGTAGTAATTTTCATTCTAGCAGAAAATTTTCATTAATCCAAGAGTGAAACAGGAGCCGTATTTGCTGGCCATGTTTTATTTGTCCTTTTTCTTCAAACAGGATAACCGAAGATACAGACAGTATTCAATAAAATAAAAGAGATGAAACAAATTCTAAGAGACTGCGATGCCACATGCTACGTTTAACCTAATTTTATTCATGCTTGCCTTGGGATGGGGAATAGATCATTCAGTAAAAACATACAGTAAAAACAAAATGTCTTATCATGTACAACTTTTAAACTACAATAATGATGTACCTTAATTACTTCCATGCACACAAGTCTAACATTCGTTTTTTTTTAAAAAATAAACACAATTAAGACTTCTAGGAGCATTTTATAATAAAGTAATTCCTAATTAATTTTTCTTTGTAGATAGATCAAGCACCTCCAAAATACAAATTCCTATACACAGTGAGCACGTTACTTAAAATGAACACTTAAGTAAATTAAGTACATGGACAGCCTTAGGATAAGCTGATATTATAGATTCAGCTAGGTAGGCAACAAACCATAGTGCCAAATGGAAAAAGTGTATTTGCAAATAAATTTTAAAAACTAAGTTAATTTTTATAATTAAATACAGAAAATATACTGATTTGCTAAAATAAATAAGATGTGATGTATTAACACTTCACTATAAAGAATGCATATCAGAACATTTATAAACAGTGAATGAGTTTTTATTAAGAATAGTTTACTACAATAAACGCTGGCTAAATAGAAGTGCATTTTGTGAAGCACTATGGGTGGTATATGTTTTGCCACATACTCTTGTTACCTTGAGGTAGATAACACATGTGTACCAAATTCGGCATTCATTTTCAGTTGCTGGTATCATGTGTTTTAAGAAATGTGTACAGTATGAAAAACTTGAAAATACTCATGAATGAAAAATGTCTTAGGAAAAAAATAGCTATTTTCATGCAATTATGTACAGTCTCACTGTGTAAATTTCAAGGCAAGGTTTGTTTCCTGTAAAACAGATCATTGTTCTATGAGAGAATGTTCTTTACTTGTCTTAGTGCATTTCTTTTCTCCTCCTGCATTATTTTGCTCTAGTCTTTATTTTTGTGTGCAAATGACATGCCAGTTAAAATGAAAACTCTCACATGTAGAAAAAGAAAGTCTGGATTTTAAAAACCAAGGAACTCATAAAATCCTTACTAAATGACACCATCTGATTCAAGTAAAAAATGACTTAAACACTAGTAATAAAAAAAAGACAACACATTTCATGAATACAAAGACAAATGTCTGCTGAGTGTTTTAGTTCAGATGTTTCAGAATGCTGCTGTATGTTTTATGAGGAATTTGAGGGGAAGATTTCATAGCAGAAGGTGTTAATGTGGCCTGTATTGACTTAAGTGGTGACCCAACTGGACTGTGAAACTGCGGGATGCCTATGGACTCGAGCTGCTTGTTAAAGAGGAACTCCCCACTGTTGTTCAGAAATCCTGCCTCATGTCCTCTCTCCCCAAGCTTCCCATCCTCTACTGGCTCAGTTTCTAGCATTTCAGTATCTTCTTTCCTGCTAAAGAACTTGTCCAAGTAACTAGTGTAAGTGTTTTCCTTCTCAACTTGTTCATCCTTCCTTACCTCACAAAACTGATTGATGAAAAAACAGTTCTCCCCACCACTCACAAACTGGCTGTCCCAAGAAGATTGGTACAAGGCTTCTAATTGAGCCAGATTTGCCATTCCTTTTTCCTGTTTTTCTTGGCTTACTGACTTTGATATCAAACTTTTCAATTCTAGTTGGGACACTGAGCTATTCAAGTCATTTAATTTATCAACAACATCAGTAGGCTCATGTTGGGAACTAAGCTGAATAGTTCCTGCAATAAAGGAATCAAAATCAAATCCCTGATTCTTTTCCCTTTCTTTTCCAGCCAGTTGCTGTGATGCTTCCTCTAGCGCTATCTGGGCTTTAACCAATCCATTCCTTTCACATTTTGATTTGCCTTTCTTATCAGATTTTTCTTTGCTTTGTTCTTTCCAATTGGAAAGATCTATAATAAGCTTGGGTTCATAGTAATGGTTAACTTCACTCTCTCTCCAAACTAAGTTATCTAAATATGATGACGACCTCGTTTTGTAGTTACAAGTATGGCTACACTCCAGATCACAATATTTGTTTTCATGATGATCTGAGTATTGCCAACAAGGCTCAGTAGAGTAACTGGTATCAAAAGCAGGATCCTCTAGATACTTTTCCCGATCTCCATCCAAATATTTTCGGGGATCAACTTGTACTTCTTCTTCATCAGTGACATCGGACAGAGCTCTTGGATCAAGCTGAACCTCATCAATATCAAAGTTGTTATGTATAGGCCAATCATGCTCTGAAAACTGACAATCATGATACCTGAAAAAAATCAATACACTAGTGTTATTCCACGTATATGATTTCATTTTCAAATTCACCGAGTACTTTTTATGTGACAGCACTGTGCTAGGTCTATGAGGGGATAATTATAGGAGAATAAAGTCGTATGCCTGCCTTGCCCTACCAGAACTTAGTCTTGATAGGTAAGCTCTGTTAACATATTTGGTAATTGCCAATGAAGTATGTAACTTCATGAGGAACTGAGTCTTCCATTCTGAAATAAGACCAATTCTCATTTATTTTCAATTTGTTTTTTGTCCACCAGTTTCATGCAAACAAAAGACTTCATGGCCACAAAATGCACATCTCGAATCTCAATCAGGTACCTTACAAATGTTTACAGTAAGGGCAACTAGAAGAGGTTTGCTGGAAAACTCATCACCATGAATAGCAAAAATCTCCCTGTGTATATGTGTTACTGAATGTGCTATCCTATTACTGACATGTACAATCATTGAGGGAAAAGAAAAGAGATTAGATGACTTAGCTAGGTGTAATAGAAAATGCAGGCCAGGTGCAGTGGCTCATGCCTGCAATTCTAGCACTTCAGAGGTGGGCAGACCACTTGAGGTCAGGAGTTTGAGACCAGCCTGGCCAACATGGTGAAACCCCATCTCTACTAAAAATACAAAAATTAGTTGAACATGGTGGCGGACACCTGTAGTCCCAGCTACTAGGGAGGCTGAGGCAGGAGAACTGCTTCAACTCAGGAAGTTACAGTGAACAGAGAGATGGCGCCACTGCGCTCCAGCCTGGGCAACAGAGTGAGACTCTGTCTCAGAAAAGAACCATATTTAGGGGGTAGAAATGGACACATGGAGAGAAAAAATAGTTTGTAGATTTGTGCAAACATACCATACCAATACCTCAATATTTGAGGAGGAGGAAAAAAATTTCTTTTTAAAATCTTTTTTTTTTTTTTGAGACGGAGTCTCGCTCTGTCACCCAGGCTGGAGTGCAGTGGCTGGATCTCAGCTCACTGCAAGCTTCGCCTCCCGGATTCACGCCATTCTCCTGCCTCAGCCTCCCGAGTAGCTGGGACTACAGGCGCCCGCCACCTCGCCCGGCTAGTTTTTTGTATTTTTTGGTAGAGACGGGGTTTCACCGGGTTAGCCAGGATGGTCTCGATCTCCTGACCTCGTGATCCGCCCGTCTCGGCCTCCCAAAGTGCTGGGATTACAGGCTTGAGCCACCGCGCCCGGCCTCTTTTTAAAATCTTAAGATTGTCATTAGTGGTTCCCAAACCTGGCCATACATCAAAATCACCTGATGACTCTATAAGCTACCATCCTACTCTGAAGCAGAATTATATCTAAACTTTCCCAGAAATGTATTTATTATTTATTTGAGACAGAGTCTCACTCTGTTGCCCAGGCTGGAGTGCAGTGGCGCAATCTCAGCTCACTGTCAGCTCACTGCAACTGCCGCCTCCCAGGTTCAAGTGATTCTCCTGCCTCAGCCTCCTGAGTAGCTGGGACTACAAGCGCCTGCCACCAAGCCTGGCTAATTTTTGTATTTTCAGTAGAGACGGGGTTTCACTGTGTTAACCAGGCTGGTCTCGAACTACTGATCGCAGATAATTGGCCCGCCTCGGCCTTGCAAAGTGCTGGGATTACAGGCATGAGCCACCGTGCCCAGCCAAACTTCCCTAGAAATCCAATTCTTTCACTTTATAATATGAAACATCAAATTATACACTAATGTTTAGACTTCAAAAAGTCCCTTTTACTGAACCTCTGTTAAGTGTCCCCAAATTAATTTTGTCATTAGGAAAATAGATTCAAATACTGTCTGAGTATGGTGAATCATGCCCATAATTTCAGCACTGTGGGAGGCCAAGGCAGGCAGATCACCTGAGGTCAGGAGTTCGAGACCAGTCTGGCCAACATAAAACCCCACCTCTACTAAAAATCAGCCGGGTGCCTGTAATCCCAGCTACTCAGGAGGCTGGGGCAGGACAGTGAGCCAAGATCGCGTCACTGCACTCCAGCCTGGGTGAGATTCCATCTCAAAAAAAAAACAAAACAAAAAAAACTGTATCTAACATTAGTCAAAAATAATATTTACCTTAAGATGTAACTACCACTGAGACACTGGAGATATTTTATTGGATATGATTGAGTCTTGTCATCTAACATCTTAAATTGTTCTGACATTCATAAAATGATTCACTTCCAACCTTCACAGTTTAAGGACTTTATAATTTTATTTACTAAATATGCCTTAATGACTTTGAAAATGTTTCAAAGTAGCATTTAACTTTTCCCATCATGTAGCATTTAACTTTTCCCATCATGTATCATCTAACCAGTAATTACTTTATTAAATATTTAAATTAACGGCTATTTAAGGATCATTACTAAATTTTTCTTTTTCTTTGAGATGGAGTCTTGCTCTAGGCCGGGTACGGTGGCTCAACCCTGTAATCCCAGCACTTCGGGAGGCTGAGGCAGGTGGATCACGAGGTCAGGAGATCCAGACCATCCTGGCTAACATGGTGAAACCCCATCTCTACTAAAAATAAAAAAAAAAAGAAAACTAGCTGGGCATGGTGGCGGGTAGCTGTAGTCCCAGCTACTCAGGAGGCTAAGGCAGGAGAATGGCGTGAACCCGGGAGACAGAGCTTGCAGTGAGCCGTGATCACGCCACCGCATTCCAGCCTGGGTGACAGTGCAAGACTCCGTCTCAAAAAAAAAAAGAGATGGAGTCTCGCTCTATTGCCCAGACTGGAATGCAGTGGTATGATCTCTGCAGCCTCTGCCTCCTGGGTTCCAGTGATTTTTCTGCCTCAGCCTCCCAAGTAGCTAGGACTACAGGCACCCGCCCGCCACCACACCTAATTTTTGTACTTTTACAGTACTAAATTTTTAAGACTTCTACATTGTCTTATATATAATATTAGAAAACTCACTACATACAGTCCATTGAAAGTTCAGTAAATATTTTTCTAATTTAGGATCACTTTACCTTTCCCAGTTATAAATGTGACTGTGAGTTTCATCCATAAGCAAAATATCATCAACTTCATCTTCAATATGAAAAGGATGGCTTGAAATTGGCTCATCCATTGGAAAAGAATATATGCTCATGTAAGGATGGGAGAGCGCTTCTTCTGCTGTTAACCGATCCATGGGACTAAATGTCAAAATTTGTTCCAGGAAATCCAGTGCTGCAGAAGAAAAGGTAAAAGTTTTTGAGAAAAGAACTGCTTACCTTTAGAAAAACAGCAAATGTTGATCTCATTTATTTAAATGACTAGCTAAGTGATTCCCTTAGCACTTCATACTACACAACAGGAAATGAGCATCTTAATTGTACTAACAGGTCCCCATCTTATAAAGGGGAAAAATAGACTACACAATTAAGTTAATTTGTCAGAAATAAAACTCTGGTTTTATTTAGGACTCTGGTTAACCACAAATCCAATTCTTCCAATAAAACAGGCTAGTAGGCCTTCCTTAGCTCCTCACGCAGCCTGAAAGCTGTATTTACACCAGTCACACACTTCTATGCCTTATGATACCGACCTTCAACCCTGGATCATCACCACCATCTACTCTCTGGCCACACACAACAGATGAAAACTAGCTGCAATATCCCATATCTGGCTCATTACAAATTCATACTAAACAATTTCATTGTGACCTTTGCTATCTGGCCTTCTCTTTATACTCCAGTCTTCTTTATCATTCTCAACAGATAAACCCACTTCGTATTTGTCTCAATCCTCATACTTCTTCACTATGGTCACTCACACATCCTCTTATCCTTGCTTTCTAAGTGAGAAAGATGGCCTTTCTCTCTCAAGCCAACCTGTACTCTAGAAAGAACCCATTCTTTTCTTTAAAAAGAGAATTTTAAGACACAGGGTCTTTGCTCTGTTGCCCAGGCTGGAGTACAATGGCATGATCACAGCTTATTGTAGCCTTGAACTCCTGGGCTCAGGGGATCTTCCTGCCTCAGCCTCCCAAGCAGCCAGGACTACAGGAATGCTACAATGGTGCTGAAGCGTGCTAAGATAGAGAAATGTACGGTAAACCACAGAAAGGGAGGATGAAAGGTAAGTATTGAGGGAAATTAACCGGAGTAGGGCTCCTAGGAGTCTTATAGGTTCACTCAGATGTACTTAATCCTGTTTGCTTTTTTCCTTCAAAGATCATAGAGTGTGGGGTGAGAACATGTATTCTTTTTACCAAGTTGCCACTGCCTCAGAATGTGCTCTGTCCCAAAATAAAACTCCACTGTTAAGAAGAAAGTAGTATGGAGCATATAATTGATAAATCTTTAGTCTCAGAAACTCCATCCACTCTGCGTTCACTTGCTTGCAAGCACAGTGCTGCCACATGTGACCAAGGATCTTTGCTCAATGGTTAATCCCAGTCACTGGCCAAATATTCAGTTTAGTTCAAAGTTAAAACATGGTCCCCACCCTAAGGAGGGTATGAAAAAGATTCAAATAGCATTATACAGCAAGGTTACAAATGCTTCAACAGCACCATCCTCTTGGTGAGACTCAGCAATAAATGACGATGACTCTAAAGTGGACCCAGGTTATGGCTGAGCAGAGCCACACCTGCAGAGGGTATGCAGACACCCACCCTGTTCCCCACTGCACCTCCCAATTCGAAATTGCTAGTTTGCATTTTAAAAGTGCTCCTTGGCCAGGTGTGGTGGCTTATACCTGTAACACTACCACTTTCAGAGGCTGAGGCGGAAGGGATGCTCGAGCTCAGGAGCTCAAGACCAGCCCAGGCAACACAGTGAAGACCCTGTCTCTATTTTTCAATAAAAAATAAAAATAAAAAAGTGTTCCCACAAAGGACTTATTTAGTTATGAACAGGGATGTTGTGACAGTGGCTACAGGGTTACGAGAAAGGGAGCTAGCGATGGAATTTGTGAAGACAGACTCAAAGACTGGTTAAGAATGTGGAACTACTGAAAAGCCTGCAAAATCTGCTGAAATGAAACACAGCAGCTTTCTCTATATCCAGGCATTTATAGGAGTTACAAGTATATCTGAGGAAAAAATGCCATCATGGTTTTTCCCCCAGTGCCTATATTCAAAATACTTGCTACTTGCTCTGGAAAGTAATTCTGAGGAACAAAAAAACAGATCGTAGCCTAAGCACCAGGACAAAAAAAAAAGGGAGATGAGAGTCGAAGTTTTAGGTACACCTTAAGTATAAAAAGACTATTTGGGAGAAAGCCCCATATCTAAGGATAAAAAGTTCCAGCTCCCTACACAGATTTCTACTTCACACACAGGCATGAATGTGAGGGCCACTCTCGTGTCACAATACCTTCTCGACTAATTCCTGGAAGCAGCTGAGTTAAAGGTTTGTGTGGCTCAGTCATGTCATTTCTAATGTAAACTGGAATTACGCTGAGAAGCTCCTGACGATCTTCCTCATGTACAACAGGAATAGATTCTAAAATCAGCTGCATCTGTTCAAGTTCATGTGCACCTGAGGTAAAAAACAAAACAAAACACACTAAATACAACAAACACATTCCTCAATGTTTACTTATTTCATAATAAACATAAATTATATTATAATGACCAGTGGGGGGAAGTTTGAATTGAATCATCAGGTTTCACTGCTTTGACTATCACCAATCTACTTATCTATTTCCATTTCTGCTCACTGATATATTTAGTTTTAGCTGCTTTGTTTCCATAGGGAACTGACTCTAAGTTTGGTCTCATATTAAGGTTATCACAGACTAATGAAAAAAAAGCAACTGAGATTTAAGAGATCTAGATTCTGGTCTTAACTGTACCACTAATTAACTGGCTATAACTTCAGAGACAACAGCTAACATCTCTAGGACTTAATTTCACCATCAATGAAATGAAGGGTTGGACTAGACTTTTAAAATGAAAAGTTTTATAGTTCTTTGTTAGGGGTCAGTATTTCTAGGCTGTTAGGCAATTGAAGAAATAAAGGGGGAAACTAGGCTAAATAGGTGACTTTTAAAAATTCCATTTGCTGTACTCCAGCATGGATGACAGAGTGAGACCCTGTCTCAAAAACAATAAAAATTCCACTTGCCTTTCCTTTAATGTCTATAAATGCATTGAACATTCAAAAATTTTGTTAGTTCCTACTATGAGCAGGACACTTCAGAATACAGTTGTGAAACAAAACAGACCAAGTCCCTGCCTTCATGGATCTTACGGTGACATATGCTATAAAGAAAAAGAGAGTAAGCTAAGGGTGATAGGACTGTCGGGAAGAATAGGGCTGTTAATACTTTAAAAAAAGAAAAGAAAAGAAAAAAAAAGTGAAGAGTTGGAGACCAGCCTGGCCAACATGGTAAAAACCCATCTCTACTAAAAATACAAAAATTAGCCGGGCATGGCGCATGCCTATAGTCCCAGCTACTTGGGAGCCTGAAGCACAAGAACTGCTTGAACCCTGGAGGAGGTTGCAGTAAGCCAAGATCATGTTACTGCACTCTAGCCTGGGCAACAGAATGAGACTTGATTTTTGTTTTGTTTTAAGACAAAGGCAAGCCTCACTAAGAAGTGGAAAATTAAAGAAGTGGGGAATACACCAAACATTCATATGGAAGAAAGAAAGGAGTTCTAGGGAGATAGAAGCCCAGAGGAGACAGGCAGGTTGGTATGTCCAAGAAACAACGATTAGATAAGCCTAGCAAAAGTAGAGTAGCTTGGAGCACACAGTGGGAGATGAAGTCAGAGTGGTACTAGAACAAAGGGTCAGCTTTACCCTGAGTTTGATGGAAAGCCATCACACAGTTTGAGCAGAGATACGACATGATCTACCTTATCTTTCAACAGGATCACTCTGGCTGTGATGTGGTAACTAAAGACAGCACATACTGAAGCAGGAAAGAGAAGGTCCTTCTAACAGGAGAGACATAATGGCTGACTGGACTTGGGGAGGGATAGTAAGAGTGATAATAACAAGCTGTTTAATTTTACTTTTTTTTTTTTTTTTGAGACGGAGTCTAGCTCTGTCGCCTAGGCTGGAGTGCAGTGGCCAGATCTCAGCTCACTGCAAGCTCCGCCTCCCAGGTTTACGCCATTCTCCTGGCTCAGCCTCCCGAGTAGCTGGGACTACAGGCGCCTGCCACCTCGCCCGGCTAGTTTTTTGTATTTTTTTTTAGTAGAGACGGGGTTTCACCGTGTTAACCAGGATGGTCTCGATCTCCTGACCTTGTGATCCGCCCGTCTCGGCCTCCCAAAGTGCTGGGATTACAGGCTTGAGCCACCGCGCCCGGCCGTAACAAGCTGTTAAGAGTCTGGATATGGTTTGAAGTAAGAGCCCACAGATCTGTGCTAACAGACTAACAGAAGTGAAGGACAATGACAAGATTTTTGTCTAAGCAACTGAAAAATGGAGGTACTGGTTTGCTAACATGAGGAAGATGGTAAAAACAAAGTATGAGGAAGAAATATCAGAGGCCCAGTTCTGGGTAGGTTAACTTTTGTTATTAAACATTTGAGTGGAGATACTGAGTTAAGGAACCTGGAATTCAGACAAGAGGTCAGGGCTGAAGATATACATTCAGAAGTCATCATCAGATATAGATAATTCTTAAAGGAATGAAAAAGAATGAGATTACCCAGGGACTAAGTGAAACTAGAGAAGCAGGCAGCCCAAGGACTGAATCTGGGATACTTCCAACATGAGGCGAAAGAGAAGAACTGGCAAGGGTGACTGGAAAGAAGCCAGGGAAGAACTGAAGAGTGGCATGCCCAAAGACAGCTGAAAAAGCACCTGAAGAGGGGAAGATAAATTGTAACAAATGCTGGGGATGGTTCAAAATAAGGACTTAGAATTGATAAGGGATTTAGCATCATGGAGATCACTGGTGACCTCGATGAGAGTGGTTTTTGGTGGAGGACCAAGCCTGATTGGACAGGGTGAAAGACGGAATGTAAGCAGAGGAATTAAGAGCAGCAAGGATGCACACATCTTTTGAGAAGTTTTACATTCAAAGAGTACAGTAGTATGTGGCAGTAGCTGAGGGACTGCGGGGTGAGGACAGAGATTCTCTTGTAAGACTGGAAAAATTGTATCAATGTTTGAATGAATACTGATAAAAACGATCCAGCAGAAGGGGTAAAGTGAAGATGTGAGGAATAGAAGTGCTAAGCAGGAAAGAGGAAAAATACCTACTGCCCAAGTAGAAGTGTTAACCTGGGACAGGAACACCTACAGAGAGACAATCTGGACACACGAGAGAAATGTACCAAAAAATAAGACTATAACACTTTCTACAGGCTAAAAATACACTGATTTCCAATGAATGCTTGGTCCTTACCTTTTGTTGCTCTGCTCATTTGCACCTTATACCTAATAACCACTCAGATCTCCCTTCATATTTTTATCTAATGGTTCACTGACAAAAATCAATGAAGCATCTGGCAACTAGAAAAAACTACAACCTAGATCTTTCTAATCATTTCACAAACTATTCCTATTAAATGTAAAAACTATGCTACTTAAAGAGTTTTAAAACAAATCCAATTATTTTTATTCCTATACTTAATGTCTGAATGTGCACTGAACATTTAAAAACAAACATTTAAAAATACATAAATACAGCTGAGAGCAGGGGTTCACATCTGTAATCCCAGCACTTTGGAAGGCCGAGGCAGGTGGATCACCTGAGCAGGAGTTCAAGACTAGCCTGACCAATATGGTGAAATCCTGTCTCTACTAAAATTTCAAAACTTAGCTGGGCATGGGGGCGTGCACCTGTAGTCCCAGCTACTCGGGAGGCTGAGGCAGGAGAATTGCTTGAACCTGGGAGGAGGAGTTAGCTGAGCTCATATAAGCGCACTCCAGCCTAGTATGACAGAGCGAGACTCCCTCTCAAAAAAAAAAAACCACACACACACAAAAAAAACCTTTGTATAATCCATGCAGCAGCAGTAGGCACTGACCTCATTTCTATGACTTGGAGCATGACCAAATGATTTTTCATTATATAGACAAATTTGGTTTTGTTCTGAGACAAAGTCTTGCTCTGTTGCTCAGGCTGGAGTAAGTGGCATGATCACAGCTCACTGTAGCCTTGACCTGCCAGGCTGAAGCAATCCTCCCACCTAAGCCCCTTGAATAGCTGGGACCACATGTGTGTGCCACCATGCCCAGCTACATTTTTGTTTTTTTGTCGAGACAGGGTCTCACTATGTTGCCCAGGGTAGGTCTCGAACTCCTGGGCTCAACTGATCCTCTGGTCTCAGCCTCCAAAAGTGCTGGGATTACATGTATGAGTCACCATACCTGGCTTGTTTTTCTGACTTGTTACTGTGGTGGCTTTAAAATGTGTCCACTGGCCAGGCACAGTGGCTCCTGCCTGTAATCCCAGCACTGTGGGGGGCCAATGCAGGCAGATCACCTGAGGTCAGGAGTTTGAGACCAGCCAGGCCAAAAGGGTAAAAAAATGTAGCTGGGTATGATGGCAGACACCTGTAATCCCAGTTACTTGAGAGGCTGAGGCAGGAGAGTCATTTGAACCCGGGAGGGGGAGGTGGAGGTGGCAGTGAGCCAAGATCGCACCATTGTACTCTAGCCTGGGTGACAAGAGCAAGATTCCATCTCGGAAAAAAAAAATAATAATTTTATATATACACACACACACACACACACACACGTACATATGTATGTGTGTGTGTGTGTGTGTGTGTGTGTGTATCCACTTAATCCTTGGAGTGGATATCCTTGGAGTGTGTGTGTGTGTATCCACTTAATCCATTCGAGAAGGTCAAAAATGAAAAAACGGTCCAAAAATTATTTTGATACTCCTCCCTTTAAAGGGTGGAACTGAACTCTGCTCCCATTGACCATGAAGTGTACTTAGTGACTCACTTCTAACACATAAAATAAAGCTAAAGTTGACAGTATGTAATTTTTGAGACTTGGTCACAAAAAGATATTTTACATGTGTGGTCAACTGATTTTTGATGAAAGTGTCAAGATAATTCAATGGGGAAAGAATCTTTTCAACAAATGGTGCCAGGACAAATGGACGTCCAATGTGTAAGAGTTAACCCCCTTTTTCTTCCTTCCCCCACCGAATACAGAGTCTTGCTCTGTTGTCCAGGCTGGAGTGCAGTGGCACGATCTTGGCTCACTGCAACCTCTGCCTCCCAGGTTCAAGCAATTCTCCTGCCTCAGCCTTCCGAGTAGCTGGGATTACAGGTGCGCACCACCACGCCCAGCTAATTTTTGTATTTTTAGTAGAGACAGGGTTTCACCACGTTGGCCAGGGTGTTCTCGAACTCCTGACCTCAGGTGATCCACTCTCCTCTGCATCCCAAAGTGCTAGGATTACAGGTGTAAGCCACCGCACCCAGCTGTAAAAGTTAATCCTATAAAACTCTCAGAAGACAACACAGGAGAAAACAACCACGACCTTGGGTCAGGCAATTATTCCTCAGATATGACACCAAAAGCAAAAGGGACAAAAGAAAAAGATAATTGGACTTCAGAATTAGAATCTTGTTTCGGGCCTGGCACAGTGGCTGATGCCTGTAATCCCAGCACTTTGGGAGGCCGAGGCGAGTGGATCATGAGGTCAGGAGTTCGAGACCAGCCTGACCAACATGGTGAAACCCCGTCTCTATTAAAAATACAAAAATCAGCTGGGCATGGTGGTGCGCGCCTGTGATGCCAGCTACTCAGGAGGCTGAGGGAGCAGAATCGCTTAAACCCAAGAGGGAGAGGCTGCAGTGAGCCAAGATTGTGCCACTGTACTACAGCCTGGGCGAGTGCGCGAGACTCCGTCTCCAAAAAAAAAAAAAAAAAAAAAAAAAAACAACCTGTTTCAAAAGACATAGAGAAAGGAAAGGAAACTGCAGAATAGAAGAAAAACATGTAAATCACAAAAGATTTGTATTCAGAATTATGTAAAGAATTCTTACAACTCAACAATAAAAAGACAACCCAATTTAAAAAATAGGCAATAGATCTGTACAGACATTCAACATCCATTAGTAGGGAAATGCAAATCAAAACCTCAATGAGGCCTGGTGCAATGGCTCCTGCTTGTAATCCCTGCACTTTGAGAGGCCAAGGTGGGCAGATCACTTGAGGTTAGGAGTTAGGGACCAGCCTGGCCAAACACTGTGAAACCCCATCTCTACTAAAACTACAAAAATTAGGTGGGCATGGTGGCGCATGCCTTTGTAATCCCAGCTACCCGGGAGGCTGAAGGCAGGAGAACTGTTTGAACCTGGGAGGCGGAGGTTGCAGTGAGCCAAGATTGCACCACTGTACTACAGCCTAGACGACAAAGCGAGACTCCATCTCAAAAAAAGAAAAAACAAACCACAATGAGATACTACTTCATACCCGATAGGATGGCTATACTCAAAAAGATAAAATTTAACTCTCATGCATAGCTGGTGGGAATGTAAAATGGTACAGCTGTGCTGGGAAACTGTTCTTCAAAAAGTTAAACAGTTATCACACGACCCAGCAATTCCACTCCTAGGTATATATACCCAAGAGAACTGAAAACATTTTCACACAAAAACTTGTACACAAATATTCACAACAGCATAATTCATAATGAAGAAGTGGAAACCCAAATGTCCATCAACTGAGGAATGGATAAATAGCATGTGGTATATTCATAGAGCAGAATACTATTTGCCCATAAAAAGGAAAAAAGTACTAATATATGCCACTACATGGGTAAACCTCCAAAATATTGCTACATGAAAGAAGCCTGTCCCAAAGTCCAAATGTTATCTGAAACAACCACAGTAGGCAAATCCATAGAGACACAAAGTAGATTAGTGGATGCCAGGGGTTGGGGGAAAGAGGAAATGAGAAGTGACTGCTAATGATTTGCAGGATCTTTTAGGAGCCAAGACAGTGTTCCAAAATTAGATTGTATTATTTACAGAGTATATAACTCTGTAAATATACTAAAAAATATGGAACTGTATAATTTAAATAAATTGTATAGTATGTGAATTATATAACAATACAACTTTTTAAAATAAGATATACTGGCTATCTCCTTGCTGTCTTTTGGATCATTAGTTCTAGAGGAAGCCAGCCACCATATTATGAAGACACTCAAGCAATCCTAAGGAGATGCCCACATGGTGAGGAACCGAAGCCTCTTGGTAACTGTCATGTAAGTAAGCTATCTAAAAGTGGATCCTCCTGCCTTGGTCAAGCCTTCAGGTAACTGCTGCCCTTACCAACATCCTGACTGAGAAAACCTGAGCTAGAACCACCTAGCTAAACCACTCCCACATTCTGACACACAGAAACTGTAAAACGGTAATCAATGTTTGTTGTTTAAGCTACTAAGTTTTGGAGTAATTTGTGACACTGCAACAAACAATACAGAATTGTTTATATATGCTGGAAGGCACTTGATATCAGGAACAGAACCTCTAATCACAGTATTGTTCCTAAGCAAAAATCAATCCATTTAATAATTTAGTTTCCAGGAATCCCTCCGAATTTCAATTTAGAAAACTATCATACATCTTAGATTTTTTTTTTTTTTTTTTTTTTTGAGACAGTCTCTGTTGCCCAGGCTGGAATGCAATGGCTTGATCCCGGCTCACTGCAACCTCCACTTCCCAGGTTCAAGTGATTATTGTGCCTCAGCCTACCCAGAAGCTGGGATTACAGGCGTGTGCCACCATGCCCGGCTAATTTCTGTATTTTTAGTAGAGACGGGGCTTCACCATGTTGGCCAGGCTGGTCTTGAACTCCTTACCTCAAGTAATCTGCCTGCCGCAGCCTCCCAAAGTGCTGGGATTACAGGCGTGAGCCACTGTGCCCAGCCAGAAATTTTAGATAAATAGAAAAAAATTATAGGCCGGGCGCGGTGGCTCAAGCCTGTAATCCCAGCACTTTGGGAGGCCGAGACGGGCGGATCACGAGGTCAGGAGATCGAGACCATCCTGGCTAACACAGTGAAACCCCGTCTCTACTAAAAAATACAAAAAAAAACTAGCCGGGCAAGGTGGTGGGCGCCTGTAGTCCCAGCTACTGGGGAGGCTGAGGCAGGAGAACGGCGTAAACCCGGGAGGCGGAGCTTGCAGTGAGCTGAGATCCGGCCACTGCACTCCAGCCTGGGCGACAGAGTGAGACTCCGTCTCAAAAAAGAAAAAAAAAAAAAAAAAAAAATTATAAAGGGCTGGCTGTTATATAAACTAAGTACTGGCATTAACATACTTAAAAGACATTTATGCATGCTGTCCTTTCTTCACCAGTGCTCTCCTATGTACACTAATCTTTCTTATGTAAATAGGCTCTGGCCTATTCCTTTCCTTCTGCTCTTAGCACAGTCTGGGGGTCGGGGGGAACAACTCTAAAAATGGTACGTATAGAGGACAGGGTGCAGTGGCTCACGCCTGTAATCCCAGCACTTTGGGAGGCCGAGGAGGGCGGATCACGAGGTCAGAAGACAGAGACCATCCTGGCTAACACGGTGAAACCTCGTCTCTACTGAAAATACAAAAAATTAGCCGGGTATGGTGGCGGGCGCCTGTAGTCCCAGCTGCTCGGGAGGCTGAGGCAGGAGAATGGCGTGAACCTGGGAGGCGGAGCTTGCAGTGAACAAAGATCGCACCACTACACTCCAGCCTGAGTGACAGAGCGAGATTCCATCTCAACAACAACAAAAAAGGGTATAGAGGGGGGAAAAGTAATCTCAAAACACAAAAAAAGGCCTTAATCACTATCACACCACTTCCCCAACTAGAAAATCTTCAGTACCCCTACTATTCCTTACTTTTCCATATGGAAAGTCCTCTACCTACTTTCTAAATACTTTCTTATCTGACCCCATCTTAACTAATCATAAATATGTTTATTATTATTTGACAACTTGCATGAATCTCACATTCATGAATGTACCAGGATTATACTTTTATTTATATAGGTACCCTTAAATAACACATTTTCTCCCTTCCCCAATTAAAATTCTTCACTATTATGACTCCATAATGCCTTCCATTCCAGCAATCACTGATGTATAGCTTCTCCAAGTTTACAGCTCTAGTCTATACTAAATAATTTTATACAGATGTATGCTTTGCTTTATGACACAAGACATTTTTCATGGATTATTCATCTCTTCTCATCTTGACAAAGTCCTATCTCACACACTTCTTTAGACTTCTAAATAGCACCAAACTTAACAAAAAATTACTTGTTTGGTTGTTTATAGGGGGAGGAGACCAAGAAAAATTTGTTGGATTTTCAACAATGGCTTAAAATTTTCACCAGGAAGTGATGATACTGACAGAAGTATGCAACTCAAGTATCAACACAGATTACCAACAACTATTATGGGTCCACAAAATATAAAATTATATTTAAACACTAGAGTTCTGATAATTTATGAAGTGACCAATTTAGTGAATGTGAATAAGTTTTCTCAATTTTTTGAATAAAAACGCCAATTTATCTGTTCATTTTTAGTATTCTAGATCACAACTAATTATTTTAAACCTTATATGAATCTTGCTTCAGAGATAAATGCAAAATTACTTCTCTTTGGGAAAATGTTTCCCCCCACAAAATACTAACCTGCAAAAAGGGTTTTACCAGTCAGCATTTCAGCAAAGATGCAGCCTGCAGCCCACATGTCAATGGCTTTAGTATAATTATTAGGAGAAAGTAAAAGACGTGGAGATCTGTACCATTTAGTAACCAATCCTTCAGAAAGATGACCCTACAAAAGAAACAAAAAACCCTTTTTTTACTTTAGCTAAAAAACAGTACTTAAAACTTGATTAAAGAATCCTTAATCTGCCGAGCGTGGTAGCTCACGCCTGTAATCCCAGCATTTTGGGAAACCGAGCTGGGCGGATCACCTGAGGTCGGGAGTTCGAGGCCAGTATGACCAACATAGAGAAACCCCGTCTCTACTAAAAATACAAAATTAGCCAGGTGTGCTGGTGCATGCCTGTAATCCCAGTTACTCAGGAGGCTGAGCCAGGAGAATCGCTTGAACCCGGGAGGCAGAGGTTGCGGTGAGCCGAGATCGCACCACTGCACTCCAGCCTGGGCAACAAGAGCGAAACTGTCTCAAAACAAACAAACAAACAAAAAAAAACACTTTAGTCTTTAACCCCAGCACTTCGGGAGGCCGAGGTGGGTGGATCGCTTGAGGCCAGGAGTTTGAGACCAGCCTGGGCAACATGCTAAAACCCCATCTCTACTAAAAATACAAAAATTAGCCTGGCATGGTAGCACACGCCTGTAGTCCCAGCTACTCGGGAGGCTGAGCTGGGAGGATCACTGAAGCGCAGGAGACAGAGGTTGGAGTGAGCCAAGAGCAAGACCCTGTTTAAAAAAAAAAAAAATTATGTAAAACTCTAGTTACAGTGTTAACTCTAGGTCACACATTCAAAGTATTTTTCAGATGAGCTGGTTTATACTCAAAGTCTTGAGATAATCGAGGAGCAAGTATGCTTCAAGTCAGAACAGTAGGGAAGAGCACCAGAGGTGCTACTTACAAACCAATGTCAGCCTCCTTACTGACCTCTACTATAAATCTTATTAATAACCAATTTATTCAATTACTTTACAATTACAAAGCACCTTACAAAACCTTATACATATATTGCCTTATTTCATCCTCAAAACTACCCTGAGAGATTGTGACGGTAGATATTAACTCCATTTTATAGGTGTGATGCCCGAGAGATTAAGGGATCTGCTTCAAGTCATATAGCTAGTTGGATGTAGAAATGGAGTCAATTTTAGACAGTATAAGTCTTAGTTCAGTGCTCTATCCACAATACTTCACTGTGGATACAGTAAATACATAAAAAGGACGTGGTCAGTGTTAATAATCTCTTTTCTCTAGAAAAAAAAAAAAAAGTGTCTGTGTTGCCCAGGTTGGTCTCAAACTCCTGGCCTCAAGTGATCCTCCTGCCTTGGCCTCCTAAAGCGTTGAGATTACAGGAAGAAGCCACCGTGCTCCCAGCCTAGAACTCATTTTCTACAAAGTTTTTTTTTTTTTTTTGAGATGAATTTTCGCTCTTGTTGCCCAGGCTACAGTGCAATGGCGCGATCTCAGCTCATTGCAACCTCTGCCTCCCGGATTCTCCTGCTTCAGCCTCCCAAGTAGCTGGAATTACAGGCATGCACCACCAGGCACAGCTAATTTTGTATTTTTAGTAGAGATGGGGTTTCACCATGTTGTCAGGCTGGTCTCAAACTCCCAACCTCAGGTGATCTGCCTGCCTCAGCCTCCCAAAGTGCTGAGATTACAGGTGTGAGCCACTGCACCTGGCCCAAGTAAAAATACTTTAATATGGGTTGAGCATGGTGGCGGGCACCTGTAATCCCAGCTACTTGGGAGGCTGAGGCAGGAGAATTGCTTGAACCCAGGAGGTGGAGGTTGCAATGAGCTGAGATCACACTATTGTACTCTAGCCTGGGCAACAAGAGCAAAACTTGGTCTCAAAAAAAAAAAAAAAAAAAAAAAAAAAACTTAATGTGAAACAACACATACGAAGATTTGTCTTAGGCATGTACTGTGAAAAGCCAACAAAGCAGGGCTCCCAGGGGTTCTCTACAGCCAAAGCAGCTCCACTTTTCTATTTTAAACATCATGGTCCCACATAAGATTTCATTTCAAAACTAAAAGACCAAGGTTCAGCTTGAAAAATACTAAATTCTTGTATGAAGACAATTTGCTATCTAAGAGGAAGTTGCTGTGAATCTTTTTGGCTATACTTACTACCAATTGTTTATGGGAATTTAGATGTCAAGCTAAATTTAGTTTAAACAAAGCAGAACTGAATACAGTCTCAAAGGGACAAAAGAAGACGTAAGTTTGGGTGTGCTGGCATGCACCTTTAGCATCAGCTATTTAGGAGGCTGAGGCCAGAGGATCACTTGAGCCCAGGAATTTGATGCCAGCCTGAGCAACACAGCAAGATCTTGTCTCTAAAAACTTAAAAAAAAAAAAAAGACAAAGCATGATGGTTCACACCTTTGTAATCCTAGCATTTTGGGAGGCTGAGGCAGGCAGATCACTGGAGGCTAGGAGTTTAAGACCACCCTGGCCAACATGGGGAGGCCCCATCTCTACTAAAAATACAAACAAATTAGCTGGGCGTGATGGCACGCACCTGTAATCCCAGCTATTTGGGAGGCTGAGGTACAAGAATCACTGAATCCAGGGGGTGAAGGTTGCAGTGAGCCAAGATGGCACCACTGCACTCCAGCCTTTACGACAGAGTGAACTCTGTCTCGAAAACAAAAGACCTAAAAGTTGAAATAGTATCCCCTCTTACCACAATTCTGTCCCAAAGAAAGTATATTCCACTCTTAAATAACTAAGGGAGAATTTCATTTATAATGAATAACCACATACTTTAGAACTTCATTATAATAACCATATTTTTTTTAGAAATTTGTATTTAATTATCCCACTCCACCTTCATTTCAAACAGAGAGACTGTGAAAGATAGATTTGTATCAGAAAAAAGGCACTATGTAAAGTTTAATAAGATTAAAAATTCTGCCACAACATACAAAGAAAATGCAGGTACCTATTCCTGATTAAGCGTTATCAGTTTAAAGGTCTGTCTCAGCTGGCTTTCTCTACATACCTTATGGGAATAATGAGGATCCATGATCCGTGCAAGACCAAAGTCACCTATCTTCAGCACCAAGTCTTCAGTATTAATGAAAAGATTAGCTGGTTTGAGATCTCTGTGCAGTACGTTTGCAGAGTGAATATACTTGAGCCCCCGTAGCAGCTGATACATGAACAGCCTGGCATGCTCTTCCAGTAAAGGGCCCTGCTCCAGCACATTAGCCAAGTCTGTCTCCATGTACTCCTGAACAATGTAAACACTGTTCAGTTCCGTAAGAGAGCCCACATCGTCTGTTAATTGGCTTCCACTAGGACCAAGAATTTCAAACACTTTCACAATGTTATCATGGTCAAGTCTTCTAATAATTTTGATTTCACGTAGAGCATGTTTGACACTCTGGGGATCGGTAAGGACAATTTTCTTGATGGCTACTCTTTTGTCACAGTCATTGTCTACAGCAGAAAAAACCAAGCCATTGCCTCCACAACCCAATGGTTTTAAGTCCATATACCTAGAACCCAGATCAAAACCATGAATGTTCATGAGACTTTCAAACTTCTCTGCCATTTTGAAACTCTTACTATTGCCTTTTCCTTTCGAATTGAACTTGTGTAAACAAGGAAGAAAACTGGCATCAAAAGGAAAGATCTTTCAAAAAGGGAGAAGAAAAATAATTATGCTTCCACAGCAAGATGGTTTCTTGATGTTCATTGCATATGCCAAACAGGCCTGTTGAGTTCCCCTTAGATTTAAAGCTCAAAAAGCTCTACTCATATTGAGAATTAAAAAGATTGCAGTACTCATAGTTCAAGAAAGGGGCAGCAACTCTGCAGACATTTAAAGAAAACAAGAAACTCAAACGGAATGAAATGACATACTGTGCACTCAGATTACCGTGCTAAACGATTTAACATTTAACAAAAATGTGAATAAATATGCACACAACAGGCTTCTATGAACATTCTCCTCACAGTGCAGATACATTCAGTGTTGGACTGGTCCTGAGCAGCATCATTCTAAGGTGCTGGTAAGCACTATTTCCGTTTTGCTTCTTTTCTTCCTTTGTTGCTATATATTTATTTCAACAGGAAGCTCTGGCGGCTGTTGGTTAACAGAAGATGTCTTTTGTTAGTGATCAGGTGGCTCCAGCTCACCACAATCACAATCAAAGCTACCGTCCATCTTACTCTGATACAACCTAGGGGGATGAGAAAAAGAAGAGAGTCACCACTGCAGGAAATACCCTTTTTTTCAAATGTGTAGTATGACACAAACTGAGCATTTAGCAATAAACTACTACTGGTACATTAAACTTAATGATGGTCATTAAGTGACAAATTACCCTTAATCAAAAATAGCTTACAAAAATGTTATGAGCAATTCACACACGTTGGCCCGGGCTCCAGATTTCACTACGCTAGATTCTTGGTAACACTTAGGCTCATTAGGTTGTACCATTTCTGAAATGCCAACAAGTATGGGAAGGTTCATAATATTTTTATAGAACTCGAGTTTTATGAGGGGTAAAACATTAGTAACATCTATCTAAAAGAATATACAAGAAGTCTGCAATGTGTTAGTTTGTTAAAGAGCATGTTTATTTATTAACTATGCCTATCAATATCCAATGAACAAAAATCTAACAGCACAAATAAGTATGCGAATAATGCTCTTCAATTTATAAAAGTAAACTTGCACAATAATACCTATGAAAAGGTATTTAATGTGACTGATAGGAAAAGATTACCTTAAAAGAACATTTCAGATTGAAAAAACATGCTTCTCTGTTAATGTCAACTCTGAGGGGTGTGGAAAAACAAACTTACACACAACAGTGGTTAGAGTTTAAATTAGTACAAGAACTTCAGAGCAATTTGGCAGAAACATATAAATGAATAAATAAATAGCATACTCTATGACCTGGCCATTTTTCTTCACAGTAAATTCTCTAGAGAAATTCTCATTTTTTTGGTAAAGAAAATTAGAAACAACCTAAACTTCATAAAACAGGAGAACAGATAAGTAGTTATATGCATGCAAAATAGTTTTTTTTTGTAAGTACATATGTACATTGCAAAAGTAAAAAAAAAAAATGGAAAAAAAAAAAGAGACAAATACCAAATTCATAATGATTACTTGGAGGTTATTAAGGAAAGAGACCAGAATCATTTCTCTGCATTTTAATGTGTTATTTATTTTAAAATAACAAGCATGGCAGATTACTAGATTCTTACAGAGCTGGGTGGTATGTATATAAAGGTTCGTTATATCAATCTCTGTTCGCTTAAAATATTTCATACTTTAAAAAATATCCTCTAAAAGGGCAGGAAAAAATAGCCTCAATTCCAGTAGATGGTTTCCTAGCCAGCCTGAAAAAAAATAAATGCAACTTGGTTCTTTCAGTTTCTTAATGGCCTAATCCTTGAATCTGCAGAGCTACCCCAACAGTACCAGATATAAGGCATGTATGGAAAATAAGCCGTGGTCAGACATTCTACAACCAAATAAGACCAGACAATATTTGAGGCAGAACAGAACCAACGTCAACAATCTTATCTCATTTATATATAAACATATAGTTTGGACGCTCACACACTACTAACATGCTAGGCAGGAGCAAACCTGATATCCGACAAAAAGGATTCTGGCCCTCAGTAAACTGCAACCTCATTGTCCAATAGAGCAAGAAAGACAGGCGTTCAAATAACAAACGTGATACTTACTATCCTCCAGTGTCTCTTTCAATAACCATGAGAACGGGCGTCTCTGTATCTGCTTCAATATGAAGGACACTAAGTGTACACGAAGTAGCTTTCTTTTACTGTAAACCAGACTGGCTTCTCCCTCTGCAAGTTTTTCTCTGCTTCTCAGCAAATCAGCCCCCCTACACGCCCCGCCAAAAAAAAAAAAAAACAAAAAGTCCCTAGAACACATTCGGTACACAGGCTTACCGAGATCTATTTGTAAACAAAGCACACTTAAATAAGTTTGTGGAAATAAACTTTTGAATTAGAAAAAGATATTTCAGAAGGGCTGGACACGGTGGTGCACGCCTGTCAATGCCCAGCACTTTGGGAGGCGAGAGGGAGGATCACCCGAGCGCGTCGATTCCAAGCACGCAGCCTGGCGCCAATCACCGGTGAAGACGCCAATCTCCTCACTCAAATAATACGCCAAACAGTAGCCGGTCGCCTGTGGGGTGGCACATGCCTGTAAGATCCCCAGCGCTACTGACGTCCGGGAGTAAGGCAAAGCGCATAACTGCTTGAACCCAGGGAGGTGGAAGCTGCAGTGAGCTGAAGAATCGACAACCCATTGCACTCTAGCCCTGGGCGAACAGAGCGAGACTGCTGCCCCCCCCGCCTCGCCCGCCAAAAAAGTCAAACAACTTAAGTCCAACATATCATTTGCCATTATCCAGCTGAGCCATTAGTCTTGTCTTCGGTCTTTAGCCACTGGATTTTCAATGCTGTTATGTGATCTAGCCCATGTGATTATGGAAGTAAGTAATAAAAATACATTTTGGGGCCAGGCGCGGTGGCTCACGCCTGTAATCCCAGCACTTTGGAAGGCCAAGGCGGGTGGATCTCCTGAGGTCGAGAGTTGGAAACCAGCCTGACCAACATGGAGAAACCCTGTCTCTACTAAAAATACAAAAATTAGCCCAGCATGGTGATGAGTGCCTGTAACCCTAGCTACTTGGGAGGCTGAGGCAGGAGAATTGCTAGAACCTGGGAGGTGGAGGTTGCAGTGAGGTGAGATCACGCCACTGCACTCCAGCCTGGGCAACAGCAAGACTCCATCTCAAAAAAATAAAAATAGAAATAAAAATAAATTTTTGTATTGGTAAAAGTTTCAGATTTTTAAAAAGGGCTTTAATACTGCGTCTCCCTCCCACCAAGGTTTTTCTGTTTGTACACATCTTGATTCTTCCTGCTCCCCAGGAAATACCCTAGGAAAACCAGTTTGTTTGTTTGTTTGTTTGAGACAGGGTATTGTTCTGTCACCCAAGCTGGAGTATAGTGGCCTGATCACTGCAACCTCTGCCTTCTGGGCTCAAGCGATCCTCCCACCTCAGCCCCTCAAGTGTCTGGGACTACAGGCAGGAGCCACCACACCAGGCTTTCTTTTTCTTTTCTTTTTTTTTTTTTAAAGTATAGGTGCTGCTGAGGCAAGCAACACACACGGCTAATTTTTGTATTTTGTAGAGACAGGGTTTCACTATGTTTCGCAGGCTGGTCAAGAAAACCAGTATTTCTCAAAGGCTCCACTATTTCCAAAATTTTACATCTCTAGTCTCTACCTGAAATAGAATGCTTGTTCATGCCTACCCTTCCTGCCTTAACGTAAACAATTCCTTAAAGCTCAGTCATGTTTTACATTTCTGACTGTAAAATCAGTTCCATAGACAAATGAAATAAGAACAGTAAGATCTCCCAAGTTCTCTCTCAAACTTCTACTTCACTAGCAATCTAGTCAAGCACAAATGCTTTGTCAAAAATTACACCACTGTTATCTGACAGAATAGCACTATAGTAGGCGTTGTAGCCAGATTAGGAAAGCCATGAAAATGAGAGATCCTTACTTAAGGCCTCCATCCACATCTGCCCCACTTAAATTTTATTGAGACCAAGAAGCCTCACAAACTAGAAACTTCAAGGAGAGTGCCTTTTCAGAATTATCAGTGACTGGTCAGCACTTAACAAGGTAGAGTGGGTAAAAAATGATACTAGGGAAGGTAGGAGCTTTGCCTACACTGAGAACTGCAGAGCCATCACTATGTACTCAGATGATGAAGACTATACATTCTAACAAGAGAAGGTAGTATTTATAAACCAAACTGTAATTCCACTAGACAATGAGGATTATACCAATTAAACACCTGGGAGGGGAAAAGGATTTACAATGGCAGTGCTTGTTCAGTGATTCTGCCTCATTGCTCTGTGAGTAGTAGTCTTCAGGATCCTTCACTATCCATTAGACCAAATGCTGCTGGAGTGCCTTTTCAGCCAGGATCTTGGAAAGTAGACCCACCTTAATTAGTAAGTTGGGAGTCATGCTGTACCTCTACATCATACAGTGGATCCATTAAGTGTTTACAATTCAGTCATATTCCATTATTCGGTAAGTATTTGATAAGTATCTGTGTCAGTCAATCCCTTGGCAATGGGGATAAAATGGTGAGTAAAGAGAGACTTGGGCTCTGCCTTCGTGGAGTTTATCGTGTGACTAGAGACAATTTTTTTTTTAAAGAAGAAAAGTAAACAAGGAAATGAAGAAAGGACAAGTGATACCAAGGAATGCTACAAGATACTACTGAGAGTCTGCACATTGGGGGTCTGACCTGATTAAGAAAGTCAAGATGTGTGTGCCTGGTAGCCATAAAAAAGGCAGAGTAGGCCGGGAGCGGTGGCTCAAGCCTGTAATCCCAGCACTTTGGGAGGCCGAGACGGGCGGATCACGAGGTCAGGAGATCGAGACCATCCTGGCTAACACGTTGAAACCCTGTCTCTACTAAAAAAAAAAATACAAAAAACTAGCCAGGCGAGGTGGCGGGCGCCTGTAGTCCCAGCTACTCGGGAGGCTGAGGCAGGAGAATGGCGTAAACCCGGGAGGCGGAGCTTGCAGTGAGCTGAGATCCGGCCACTGCACTCCAGCCTGGGCGACAGAGCGAGGCTCCGTCTCAAAAAAAATAAAAATAAAAAATAAATAAAATAAAATAAAAAAGGCAGAGGCCTCTCATGCTCTCCTAGTGACCCTAGAAAGAAAATTGTTCCCTCATCACCTTAACTCTTAGGGCAGTTATATTCCAAATTCTGATGTCTCCAACTAGCTCCAACTAGCTCCAACTTTCACGTCAACCATGGAGCTCCTTGGCCTGACTAAAGCATATATAAAACTCAGCTGGACCAGCAGATGGTCACTGCATCCTCTATCCACATCAGTGTCCTATTAATGGCCATTATCTCCATCATCTTTCATGCTTAATTTCATAAAGGCAAAGTTTAAAGCTTAGACCCAGGAAAAAACTGGGGCTCCATATTCTTTTTACATGTTCTACACACTTCAACAAGGGAGTAAAAAGGAAGGTAACATAAAGGGACCCTTTCCAGCATCTTTTCAATTTCTCTGCCTCCAAATAAATGCTACCCATTCCTACCAACCAGTGCTGATTCTGGGTGGTCTGGGGAGTGATCA